AAATCCTTGCTTAGTGTATACTAAGTTGATCTTCTGTATATGAAGGTGATTGAAAATGAAACTCGATGAAGGGTGGGATGGGAGAGGGAGTGGGAGAGGGGAGGGCTGCGGGAGGGAGGGAGGTGGGGGGGAGCCACAACAATACAAAAGTTACACTTTGTAAATTCACATTTATTAAATTAAAAAAAAGAACTTATGGGGGGAAAAGCCATTGTAATTCATAAACTGTACTTTGGAAATTTATATTTATTAAAGTTAAAAAAAAAGGGGGTAAGTCCGAGTGAGCATGTGCTGAACTGTACATCTCCTCCCTCTCTTATTCCCACTCTTACATTTAACGGGGATCATTGTTCAGTTAAATTTAAGCAAGTAAGAATAATTATGTGTTAATTAAAGAGTTCAACCAATACAGTCAGCATCTTATTGAGTGGGGAAAAGTTGGAAGCATTCCCCCTAAGATCTAGAACTAGACAAGGATGCCCACTCTCACCTTTGTTATTCAATATAGTCCTGGAAGTTTAGCCAGAGCAACTAGGCAAGAAATCAAAGGGATACAAACTGGAAAGGAGGAAGTGAAACTATCCCTATTTGCAGAGGACATGATTCTTTATAGAGTGGAACTAAAAGACTTTACTAAGAGACTATTGGAGTTTGGTAAAGTGGCAGGATATAAAATTAAGACACAATAAGCAATAGCCTTTGTATACAGAGACAATGCCATTGCTGAGAAAGAACTGCTAAGATCAATCCCATTCAAAATAGGTACAAAAATTTTAAATACCTTGTAATAAATTTAACCAAGAATGTCAAAGATCTATAAAATTAAAATTACAAAATATTTGTACAAGAAAGAAGTAGAAGAAGACACAAAAATAGAAAAATCTTCCATGTTCATGGACTGGAAAAACCAATATCTGAATGTCCGTACTTTTGAAAGCAGTTTATAGATTCAATGCAATCCCAATTACACTACCGACATCCTCCTCAGACCTGGAAAAATGGTGCTAAAATTCATGTGGAAATACAAGAGACCCCAAATAGCTAAAGCAATCTTATACAACAAAAACAAAGCCAGAGGCATCGCAATACTAGATTTCAAGACATACTACAGGGCATTTGTAATCAATACAGTTTGGTACTGGAAAATAGTAGACATGTAGACAAACTGAACAGAATATAAACTCCAAAAATCAACGCATGCATCTACAATCAATTTATCTTTGACAAAGGAGCTAAAATCAATCCCTGGAGCAAGGAGAGTCTCTTCAACCGATGGTGCTGTGAAGGCTGGGTCTCTGGATACAGAAGTATCATCCTTTTTATGAGAAGAGTGAGATATTCCCACTGGAGTCATAGCTTTACAATATTAGGGAAAATAAAGGAGAATTCAGGCAAGATAAAAGTGTCATAACCCCAAATTCCAAGGCTAAAGTATCAAGCTAACATGGGCACTGGCCACCACTGTAAATGATCACATAAAATGCCATTCATCCAATTACATCCAGTAGATTTTCAGGTTAAGTTCCAAGTATAGTGTTATTATTTCAATGCCTATGTTAAAAGTTTCTGCTGAAAATTACCTTGTTTTCTCCTCTCTCTACTTATCTCTTGATAAACTTTTTTGCCCTAAACATGATCCTCTGCAACATAAAATTACTAATTAATAATAGGATATGACCATTTCATCTGATCTACAACCCTGAGACTTAAAGAACTCACTAATTAAAATAGTATAATAATGTTAATCATAGAGACATTTTTGTCTAGGAGTCATTCATTATTATGCACTGTGTTCCATTTTATGACCCCAGTCAAAATTCTCTCTTGCTTTGAATTTGAAGTTTTCAGATAATGTGAAAGCATGATTTGTCCTCTTTCCCAATCATAGTCAGTTGAGATGACTTGTCTTTAATTTTTAAACACCAGCCTTTCCTTTATGCAGAATAATTTGTTATTATTTTTGTATGTTCTCTGTACCACCTTTGAATTTTGAATTTTGGATTTTCAAATTCTGAATGGCAGGAACATTGAATGGCGCTGACTGGATATATTGGTTGACTATCCAAAGCAATTCTCATTTAATTCTTTCCTATACCATTACGTTAGAATAATGCTGGCACATGAAAAGTAGATTTATAATAACTATTAATGTCTTTTGAAGAGAGAAGTCAGTGTCCATGCAAATGAAGGATTGATGCTGATCTCTAAATGAAGTGTTGGCACAGTTAAATGCTGTGACAGCATTGTATTGCAGCCTGTTTAAAAGGCATTTCAATCAGGATGTAATAAATTTCCCCTTACTGGTCTATGCAACTTCACTAAAACAGAAAAGACCATTCATCCAAAAAGATAAAGCCATTTGGGAATCTAAAAAACATTTTGTTTAGCTTGTAAAGAGAAAAGTCTACCATCTTTTCCTTGGATTTCAAAAGCAGAAATTCAGCCACTAACACTAGCAGTTAGAAACATTGTGCAGCTTTTATGTACATGGAGGTAATTTTAGCAGTTACTGCAGTCACTTCTAACCATATATCTTTCATTTTCCAGATTGGCCTGAAAACTTTTTGCTATCACAATAGCCACTTTACATTTATGAAAGCATATTATACAGCACTCAGGAAATTTGCTCTTGAAATAAGTAAGGGTTAGTCTGACTAGTATATTGCTTAAGGAGAAATGATTTTAAGTAAACAAAAAGGTCATGATTATTGGCCTAATCAAAGCAGCAAGCTTCATTGCAAATTCATTTTTGTGATAGATTATGGTAATTTAAAAGCAGAAAAATTAGACTACTTACTTCAAAGTGTCAAATATAATTATCACTTAGTGATTTTTCACTGTTAAGGGTCACAGAGAATACCTAAGACCTGGAATAATTTGTTCTCATCATTGTTGGCGTTTTGCTTTGAGACTCTGCCATGTTTTATGACCAAATAAAAGGTAACAAATCTATCTCCTCTTCCCCACCTTCTACCTGCTGTCTCCTCCATGCTCATCAAAGAAACCTCCCATGATCTTTTAAGGCAATCCAAGGCAAGCACAGTCCCAGACCCTGCCTCATCTGAGTCTGTAATTATGATGATGGTTGTGGTGGATCATACACTATACTGCTTATATGAATCAGAAACACAAAGGCTTTTCTAAATGACCTATATTAAATCTACATGTTTGAGTTTTTTTCTTCCGATATATGAAACAATTATCTGTGATTATAATTTAAGTATGAATTAAATCAACCAGAGACTCAGACTCTCTCCTAGAAGGCACTGTAGATTAATGAGTAAATATGTCTTAGTTTGTCTTTAAACTGCATGTTATTGACCTGAGAGACATCGGGGGACTATAATGACTGATTATGTAAATCCGCAGTTGCAGATTGTTGCCATACTCCATAATGTCATTAATTTACATTAATGTCAGTCTTTCCTTACCAGACACTTATTAATTTGCTGTTCCTTGACACATATTCTGATGTAGAGTTTTTGTGAGTCATTAAAGTCCTTTGTGTGGAGACCTTCTTGAAGACCTCTTAGTTTGTATGTAATTGACAAACCAGACGACAGCTTTTATGGTTGATCATAAAACTGCAGCCAATTCACTCAGGCACTGGATTTATGTTTTGAAACTTTTCTTTTTAATGCTCCTTTTTTGTAGAGAAAGTGTTTAAATGTAGGTACATTTATTTATTAGGTGGTTTAAAATATGCACTTTTCTACAAGGTCAAATTCGAAGGAGTTTTTAACCAGATGTACAGCTGCTACTCAAGATTTTGTAATCAGAAATCCTTATCAGAAGCATCTATTACATTTGAAGTCTCTTTAAAAAATATAACACGTTAAGATAATTTTAAGCCAGAATTTTAAAGCATCGATTTCATTTATTTAATATAGTACCTCACTGAATTCAGCCCCTGGACATCCAGTCCTGACACATCTTTGTCGGAGCTTGTCTCCCTTTTGTTTTGGTTTCACTTGAACTAATTACCATATTACTAATTGCTGTAGTCCATGCATACTTTCAATCATTCAAAACCCCTTACTAAGCACTAACTCCATACCCAGTGTTATCTGAGCAGAAGCAAACATAAGAGATTAAAAAACTAACCTCTACTTTCATGTAGCTAACTTTCAAAGGTGAAGGATAGACAATAAGCAAGAAAATCAGAGAACCTTAGAAGATAATAAAGTGGGGAGGGGTTCAAAGAAGGATATAGGAAGTGTGGTTAAGGCAAGAGGCAGAAGGGCGGTGATGTAATATAAAGTGATCAAGAAGGGGGCACTGGACCAAGGTTTGAATGAGATGAGGGTGTAAAGTAGACAGATATCTTGGGGATGGGGTTCCAGAAAGAGAAAACTGTGAGAATTGGGAATTGCAAGATAGTGTGGTGCAGCAGAGTGATTGAAAGGGTGACCTGGAGACAGATTGAGAGAGGCAGTGGGAGTGGGTAGGCAGAGCACTGTAGAGCCCCAGGACATTGAAAATATTCCAGATTTTCCTCAGAAATGAGGATCCCCGGAAGGGATCTGACTATCTAAGCACAATATTTTGGGGTTTTATGTTAAAATAAACAGCCTGGGGAATGTAGGTAGGTAAAGGGAAAAGCAGAGAGATCTATTAAGAAGATATTGCAGTAACCCTGGCTAAGATTAGGAGTGTAGTAGTAGAATATGAAAAGGAGGCCAGATTTTGCATATACTTAGAATATATCATCCAATATGCATGATATTATATAGCATTGGTATAGGTAATAAGAAAGACAAAGATTAAAGAGCCAGAGGAAATAAATCACCAAACCCTACTCCAGTGACCAAGCAATCCAAGATGGATTTGGAGCAGTCACTGCTCAGAATTGGTGTCAGCCAAAACTAGCCAACATGGTTACTGAGAGTGCATCCCTTTGCAAACCTGTAGTCTATTATAATATCCTTATAGTGAATTTATCATAACTGACACTACCACTCTCATCATGCACCTGATACCATGACATTTCTGAAACTTACTGAAAAGGCCAGAAAATGGTAAGTCACCGAATTCCTGGAAATCTCCATCCTTTCCTGGAAAACTCCACCCGAAGCACCACGCCCTGTGCCTTTAGATCACAGACACAGATGAACCCAGACCTGGTGGGCTACAGTTCACTCTGGAGCAGGCATATGCTCCCTCTTGAGTGTGTACTTTGACTTTGCTAACCTTTATGTCTCATTCTTTCATGTGTCACAGACAAGAACCTGGACCCATCAGTCCCACAATATCATCAAGACTCCGGGTGATTACTGACATCATAAATAAGAGTGTCAATTGTTAAATCAGCAACAAGAGTCACTGTGCACTTGCTCCCCATGTAGGATCTCTGTTCTTAATGTGTTGTACTATGTAAATTAACGGTAAAACTTGTCTTCAAACAGTACTTTATACTTTGTGTGTCTGTGTGGGTGCAAACTGTTGAAATATTTACTTAATATATACTAATTTGATCTCTGTATATAAAGATAATTGAAAATGAATCTTGATGTGAATGGGATGGGAGAGGGGTGGGAGATGGGATGATTGAGGGTGGGAGGGAGGTTATGGGGGGGAAGAGCCGCTATAATCCAAAAGTTGTACTTTGGAAATTTATATTTATTAAATGAACATTAAAAAAAAAAAAAGATTTCAGTACTGCATACCAGAGTAAATCAAAGCTAACTCAAGTGTTTTGTCCTGAGATACTAGAATTCCGGAAGTGCCATTAACTAGATGGAAGAATTATAGGAGGAGCAAATCTGAGGGGATGGAGATGAAATTGGGGATTTGTTTTTACAAATGTTCACTGTGATTCCTACTTTTTATCTAGCAGAGATTTCCAGGGGGCAAGTGAATATTCAAGATAAAATTCATGGGAAAGATCCATGATAAAGATGCTCCTTTTGCTCCTTTGGAAATTATGAAACTATAGCTGGTGTCTAAAACTGAAAAACGTCACTGAGACAGTCAGAATAGAGAAGACAGGAGAGTGGAGAACTGGCCCAGTCCTGAGGCAAAAGATTGGAGCTGAGAACAAAACTACTGCTAAAAGCCTGTGAAGTGTTCAAAAGGAATATATACTGAGACTAATCTAAGAAGTGGCCCTACAGAGTTATTAATCTATCAGGGCAGTTTGACTTGGGTGATGGGAACAAATGATTTGTTTTGTCTTAGCCATCCAGAGCAACCTTGAACAATCTTTATTCTTTGCCTATACATTTTGCATCTAGTTATGAAAATGCTCTCCTTTAGATTGATCATTAGCCTTCTTTTCAGTACCTTTTTCAGAGATAATACTGTTCTTGTTGCTTATTGTCATTGTAGACAACCATTTTCTTTTCTTTTTTTTTTTTTTTTTATTTGACAGGTAGAGTTAGACAGTGAGAGAGAGAGAGAGAGACAGAGACAGAGAGAAAGGTCTTCCTTCTGTTAGTTCACTCCCCAAATGGCTGCTACAGTCGGTGCTGCAGCAATCCAAAGCCAGGAGCCAGCTTCCTCCTGGTCTCCCATGCGGGTGCAGGGGCCCAAGCACTTGGCCCATCCTCCACTGCCCTCCCGGGCCACAGCAGAGAGCTGGACTGGAAGAGGAGCAGCCGGGATTAGAACCGGCACCCATATGGAATGCCAGTGCCACAGGCGCAGGATTAACTGAGTGAGCCATAGCGCCGGCCCCTAGACAACCATTTTCTAAGGAGCTAATCTCCACCAGTGAGAAATTTACTCCCCACTTCTGCCCGCTTACTTAAAGCCCATTTGTTGGAGCCAAGCCAGTGTATACTCACAGTGTGATACATACATTCTGAGTGGAATCTGACTTTTTTGGAAACACTTTCCAAGATTCATTGAAAGCCACTGACCTTATGTATCCCAGGCCTAGGTCATTCATATACTGCCCCAAATAAACCTTCAATTAACCTTTTTACAGGTCCTGTTTATTTCCATTAACAGATGATACTGAAGAACCAGCAAAGGAGAGTAAGGAGAGGTCAGTGAGGCAGAACCAAAAATACAAGAGTGTTACAGAAACCAGGCGAATAAAGTGTTTTAAAAAGTAGGGAGCAATCAGATACTCAAAATACTGCTGATAGATTAAACAAGTAAAACAGTATCCATTGAAGATCATTGATGACTGTAACAAGACAGCTTTAGTGTAATAATGGGAGTAAAAATTTTATTCAAGAAGGCTTAAGGGAAGATGGGAAAGAGAAATTGGAATCAGTGGTCATAGGAAATTGTTCTTAGGAATTCTTTTGAAAGAAAGAAAGAAAGAAAGAAAGAAAGAAAGAAAGAAAGAAAGAAAGAAAGAAAGAAAGAAAGAAAGAAAGAAAGAAAGAAAGAAAGAAAGACTTTAATAAATCCACATTTTGAAAGTACAACTTTTGGATTATAGCAGTTTCCCCTTCCATAACCACCCTCCCACCCACAAAGCATCCCATCTCCTACTCCTTCTCCCATTCCATTCTTCATTAAGATTCATTTTTAGGGGCGTAGCTGCAGCAAAGCGGGTTAACGCCCTGGCCTGAAGTGCCGGCATCCCATATGGGTGCTGGTTCTAGTCCTGTCTGCTCCACTTCTGATCCAGCTCTCTGCTATGGCCTAGGAAAGCAGTAGAAGATGGCTCAAGTGCTCGGGCCCCTGCACCCACGTGGGAGACCCGGAGGAAGCTCCTGGCTCCCAGCTTCGAATCGGCACAGTTCTGGTCAATGCAGCCAATTGGGGAGTGAACCATCAGAGGGAAGACCTCTTTCTCTCTGCCTCTCCTCTCTCTGTGTAACTCTGACTTTCAAATAAATAAATAAATAAATCTTTTTAAAAACTTTCATTTTCAATTATCTTTATATAAGAAGATCAACTCTATACTAAGTAAAGATTTCAACAGTTTGCACCCACACAGACACACAGTGTAAAGTACTGTTTGAAGTCTAGTTTTACCATTAATTCACATAGTACAACACATTAAGGGCTACATGGGAAGTAAGTGCACAGTGACTCCTGTTGTTGATTTAACAATTGACACTCTTATTTATGATGTCAGTAATCACCTGAGGCTCATGTCATGAGCTGCTTTCAGTCTCTCTTCACTGTCATGACTTTGGAGCCTTCGTGCTTCTAATTTCCAGCATCCCTGTTAAAACAACACCTGTGATTGGGTGAGTCCACCAACACATTACAGGATAAGCATCCGTAGTTAACAATTGTTAACTTAATCACATCTGCGACATCTGTCCCGTATGTGATATAAAGTACCATTTTCAGGGTTTAGGATATGGACATCTTGGTGTAGGAAGTGTGGGGGCATTATTCAATTTACCCTAGTGAGATAACATTTTTCTATTTTACTTAGCAAGATAGTGGACGAGATTTTGGGACATGCCTTTGTTTTGTGTTGCTATAATAGAATGCCACAGACTATAATTTATCAAGAACAGAAATTTATTTTCTTGTATTTCTAAGGGCCAGGAAGTCCAAGGTCAAAAGTGCTAGCAGATAGGCAGGGCTTTCTTGCTGTATCATTCCATGGTGGGAGGCAGAAGGGCAAGAGTGGGAAAGATAGAAAAAAAGGGAGTCTGGGCCTGTCCTCTTTTTAGGAACCACTGGTGTGGTAATGGCAGTAATCCCTTCATGACAGCAGAGTTCCCATGACACACACCTGGACTCTGAGGACACATTAAAACCATAGCAGGGCTTATTATTGGTTTTGAACTATTTGCAAGCATTTTAGGAGTGGCTTATATTTCAACCAAGTCGATTGTAAATAGTCATTATTATGTAATAAGTATTTTCCCCCAGAAAGCTACTAATAAACTAAGCAACCATAATGAATTAAATTCTATTTCTTTGAGTTATGCTTAGTAATTGTTCTCCAAAGATGTATTGCTATTTACCTCATTGCCTCAAATGGTAAAGAATAATAAAAATAAAAATAGAGAACATTGAATATCAGCCACTTGTGATTCAGGGAGTTTTGATTTACAGTTTGAAAGCTTTTCAGAAAACCAGGAAGTTGCAATAATATTGAAATCAGTGTCATTCAGATGTCTTTGCAAGGCAAACAAAGCTCTATCAATTGAACAACCAAACCACTGTTCAAATTAATCAGTAGGAACTTGATAAATTCCACTGATGTAGAAAATTAGCACTTTGCATGTTTCCCAGATTTTGATTTCATTTGGGCGTCTGGTCATGAATTATAACCACTCTTCTTGGACTCGAGCTATTTCACTTGAAATCCATTATTTCTAGCAGAATTATGAGTCTTGTTAGGGAAATGCCAGCTATTTCCATTTTGAGCATCTGCACGGCAGTTCTATTATTAACATGGAGCTCATTTAAAAAGGGGAGAAGAATTAGATTTGTGTCTTTGGGGTTGTGGGGGAGGGGTGGTTGGTGGGGACTACAGCTTCACGGAAACAAACAAGCTCACAGGGCTGCCTCCAATTGACACAGCTGTCATGTAAATATCTGTCCCCCGATGTATAGCTAAGGGATCCTGGGCTTAAAGACCTTGTAGCCATATGTAAACAATGCAGTGCTGATGACAGGTTTACAGTGCTGGAGAAAACATGCGCAGCTGTTTCATCTTCGTTCCTATAGTGAGATACAAATGTTCAAGAGAGCGATCACAGATGCTGGGAACCGCGTTTTCAAAGCTCCCAGGGCTAGTCTTGCTTTTGTGATGAGTTTTGCATCATTGCCTTCTGGGTCATGCCACAACAGCCCGTGGAGTGAATGCTTGTGCACAGGCTCCCTGCTGGCTCCCTCACTGCCTCCCTGTCCGTCTCCTCCAGGGCTAGCCCAATTGTTTCCTAAGTGGCAGTTAGTCCAAGCAAGTCTTTCACCTCTGGATGCAGAGAAAATGCCTGACCCACACCTGTGCATGCTGCATTGATCAGAGGGCTCCCCAGATCAAAAAATCAAAGAGGCTAATGACCTACCTGGGTTAGGTCATTTACTCTTATTCCCTCCTTGTTGCTCTCTTCCCTTCACAACCTTGTTTCCTGTATTTCGCTGAGGCTTTCTACAAAAGAATCAGACAAGAAACCAAGTATTATTTCGATCATGGTTCACTTCATGAAAGTGAAAGTGCCTGTGGATGTGAGGTGGAAGATAATGACCACGCATATGCCCATTTGGAGAAAAAGTTTTGTTTCTCCTTGCAGCTTTTGAGTTAAATGTGACTATGCTCGTTTTTCAGGCCATTAAACCCCTTCTGTTGACCTTTGGATACTTATTTGAATTCTTCAAGGAAACTCAGTATTTCATGACCTAAATTATTCACAGCCCCAAATTATCTTCTGTTTTGTAGTCACATAATGTATTTATGGAGATAAGTTCAATAGCAAGGCTGTTTTTAAAATCAGTTTTTTTTTTTTATTTTATTTTAGCTATTTGTCTTAAGAGGCAATATAAGGGAGCCGTCGCTGTGGCTCACTTGGTTAATCCTCTGCCTTGTGGCGTCGGCAATCCATAGAGTGCCGGGTTCTAGCCCCCATTGCTCCTCTTCCAGTCCATCTGAGGCCCTGGAGGGCAGTGTAGGGTGGCCCAAGTGCTTGGGCCCCTGCACCCGCATGTGAGACCAGGAAGAAGCACCCGGCTCCTGGCTTCGGATCGGCGCAGCGCCAGCTGTAGTAGCCATTTGGGGAGTGAACCAATGGAAGATAGACCTTCTCTCTGTCTCTCTCTCACTGTCTATAACTCTAACTGTCAAATTAAAAAAAATGAGGCAATATATGGCACATTCAGATTTTTGAGCTCTACCATTAGAATAACTCAACATAATTCCAGTCATAAACGCTTGGCAAACTGGAGATTTGGGGCAGGTTACTAAAGCTACATCTAAACTTACAATTTCTTATTGTTAAATGGGGATAATAGTAGTGCTTTTGCCTAAGGGTTGTTTTGAGGATTAACAGGGCAATCTATTACAAGTCTTTAATTTTGGGCACAAAAAATTTGACCATTAGACCTGAGCCATGATTATAATTCTAATACTTTGAAGGATACTGGTATTAAATTGGAAACTCCTAACAAAAAAAAAAAAAAAAACAAAGAAAAAGGGTTACCAATAATCCATTTTTAAATGACTTCCCAACTTTCTAACCCTGTGACCTCCAGAAATTTACCCCCCACAGTAGTCTGTCCTGAAAGCAACCATGTTTTCTGGATCCAAGTGCTGTACATTATCCTCTCCCCTCCCATAAATCCAGAAGCCTCCATTCCCTACTCATGAATCCAAAATATTTTATTCTTTCTTAAAAAATGCTATGCTAGGACCAGGAATCCTTTTACTGAAATGAGTTCAGAACTCAGTTTGCCAGTTTTGTGAGACAGGAGTAGAAAACTCTGATGAATCAAATATTTTGGCATATTTACTAGTTTAAGTCCAAATAATCAGTTACACACTGAGCTGAAAAAGCTTTTGTAGACAGGGACAGTAATTTTGACACTGAGAAGGTGTTTTCTTTGAGAAAGTTTGTTCTTAGTTTCAACAATTGATATACAAATAACTTTGGAACACGCTAGCTCCATAAATCAATCAGATGTTGAGTTCCATTAATTCAGGATTTTTGTAAAAATGTCCCATAATTCTACAGAAAGACAAATCCATTTATGTTTTAAAATAAAGACAGCATGTACCTTTTCCCTTATGCCTTTTAAAAAATGGATTTATTTTTTATATAAGTTTTAAGCTCGCAGTGAAATTGAGCAGAAAGTATAAAGTTCCCAGATGCTCCTTGAAATTCCACATGCACAAACACTCTACTGGTCAACACGTCACATCAGAGCAACCCATTTATTAAAAAAGTTGAACCTACATTGACACATTATCATTCAAGTTTATAGTTTAGGGTTTATTCTTGATGCTACACATTCTCTAGGTTTCAACAAATGTGTGCTATGTATCCACCATTATTGTATCATACAGAAAATCTTCTCTGCTGTCTCCATTGATTCTCCCTCTCTCTAATCCCTAGAAAACACTGACTTTATTTTTTCTTTCTTATATTCCTGTCTTCTCCAGAATGTCAGATAGTTGCAGTCATTCAGAATAAATATCTAGATTTTCTGGTTGGCTCCTTTCACTTATTAAAGCACGACTAAAGTTTCTCTGTGTCTTTTCATAGCTTGGCAGTTCATTTCTTTTTAGTGTTGAATAATATTCCATTGTGTGGGTGTCATACAGTTGTTTTTGTCCACTTGACTGCTGAAGGACATCTTGGTCACTTTCAGCAATTAGAAATAAAGCTACCTGTAAATATTCACGTTCAGGCTTTGGTGTGGAGTAAATTTACACCTCATTTGGATAAATATCAATGAGGATGATTGTTAGATTGTATGGTAAGAGAATGGGTAGTTTTGTAAGAAATTGCAAAAACTCTGTTCTAAAGTGATTGTACCATTCTGCATTCCTGCCAGCTGTGATGTGATGTGTTGACCAGTAGGCTGTCCGTGCATGTGGAAGATCAATATTGCTCCACATCACTGCCAACATTTGGTGTTGTCAGTGTTTCAGAATTTTGCCATCTGCTGATGGTTGTATCTTGTTGTTTTGATTGGCAATTATCCAATAATAAATGATGTTTAGTATCTTTTCATGTATTGTACTTTTATTTGCAATCTTCTTTGGTCATATATCTATATAGGTATTTTGCCCATCTTTTAATTGAGTTTTTCATTGTATTATTGTTGAGTTTGAAGAGTTCTTTGCGTATTCTGAGTAAGAGTTCTCTAACAGATTCCTCTTTTGTAAATATTTTCTCCCAATCTATGGCTTGTCCTCTAAATCTCTCAAATTTTTAATTTTAAAGAAGTCCAACTTATCAATTCTTTCTTTCAGTGTTCATGACTTTTATAGCAAAAAGTTATTGTTTAATCCAAGTTTACCTAGATTTTTTCCTATGCTATTTTCTTGGAGTTTTATAGTTTTGCATGTTCACTTTTATCTGTGATCCATTTTTAATTATTTTTTGTGAGAAAAGTATAGTCTGAGTCTAGATTCATTTTTAGCATGTGGATATCTTATTCCCAACTTCATTTTTTCAGAGACTGTCTTTCCTTCATTGAATTTCTTTTGTTTGTTTGTCAATTATCACCTGACTTTATTGTATGAATCTGTTTCTGTGCTATATTTCTATCCCATTGATTTATT